GGGGCAGTTGTGGGAAAGGCTTCCCTGCCATGGCAATGGCTCCTGGGTAAACTACACCTGCGGTGGCAATGGGAATCTGTGCTTGTTGCCTGCCGTGGAGAAAAAGTAAAAGGAAGTTTGAATACTTGAGGGACTACAGGGAGGGGAAGTACAACAGCACTTTGCAAGCCCACAGCATGTGCTCTTGCCCATGCAGAGGAAGCTCCTGGATGGCCCATGCAAGACAAGCCATATATCAACACTCCAGACTCACCAACTGATGCTCTTGAAATTAATATCAAGCCCAAACCAACTTCACTGATAAGAAAACCCAATCTCTGTAAACATCTCTATCTGTACCTGAACAGCGTCAACTTGCCTTCCTGTGACGCAAAGTTCTTTACTGGGTAAACTGGGTGTCTCATGAGCTGCCAGCCAAAAACAAATATCCTTTCAATTGTGGTCTAACTCAAAACCCATATATTTTGGAAATCTTCCTTCTAAATAATCCCAGCTGTCGGCAGGACTAGACATAAAAGTAACACATTGCCAACAGGAGAGATGTGACAAGGGCTAGGTGGTTTGCACAGGAATGGGGAGATGCTGTAGGCAAGTACCAATGGATGAGCAGAAAGCAAGGCAGGTCTCTCCAAAGAGGCAATGTTTACTCTTATGTTCAGAGAGCTGGCCATCACTAGGGAGAGAAACAGTGGGCTTTCTGGGGCCAACAGGGGTTTATAGGGTGATCACTAAGGGCCTCCCACTGGAAGGTGATAGTTTCCACAGTGAGCAGCACTTGCGAAAAGCAGAACCTTTGAAGGAAGGTGGATAAAATTGTGAAAAGGCAGACTTAAAACGGAAGCATGCATTATTTAAAAATAAATAAAAAGCAAGCAAGCAACATGGGCATTTGAGAAAATCCTCTACAGGATGCCTTTATACAGCATCTAAGCCTTGGAAACCTGACTACCATAATGAAAGAAGAATTATTCCAGGCCATAGAAATTCCCTTTGCATCAAGAACACTAGCTGTGTTATACCAGTGTTTGTTTCCCTGAGAAGCTTCAGGGTCCCAACAAGCCTAGAGGTTTAAAATTCATGCTCCTTTTGTTTCCTTGCTGCATGAAGTAATTCCATTGCAGTAATACTCTTCAGTACATGCTGCACATTGTAATGTCATCAGCGGTGTGTCCATCTGCACTGAAAAGCCTTGCCACAGGAGACAGGGCAGAGTCTCTTGAGATGAACATTCTTAATTAAGAATGAAACCCTCCCCTGTTCCCCTGCCTGCCTGTGCCCTGGCTGTACAGTAAGCCTTGCACAGTACAGTGATCCTGAAAGACTTTCCTCTGCCAAACAGCTTTACATTTGTTTGGAATTGCTTGCTGCATTTTCAGATACTTCCTGCCTGCCATTCGAGCAAGGCCTCCCTTTGCATAGTTCTTATTTCCATGTTTCTGAAACAAGTAGAAGTTGTCTCAGCTTGAAGATACAGCTTTTAAAGTAGGGAGTGGATCTAGTTTGCATTTTATTCTTAATTCAATAGGAAGGCTTTTGTTTTCTGGAGTCAGCATTTCTCTAACAAGATTCAGCACACTTAAATTGCTTTTAATATTTAACAATAGGAACACTTTGCACTTAAATGGTGCTTTTCAGAGCGCTTTTCAAATATTAAATAATTTAAGAATAGTATTTTTCCACTTCTATAGGATGTCCACTCCAGAGGATCTCAAAGCAGTCCTCAGATACTAGTATATTAGGGCTCTCAGCAGTCCAGTGAGGTGAGCTTGCCACACTCCCATTAAAGGTGAGGACACTGAGACAGGGAAGAACCAAGTCCTAGAGTTGCAAAGAATACCAGATCCTTCCCACTGCGATGCCTTCACATGGGCTTTCAGCATGCCCCAGCAGCTGGCATAGCCACAGCTCTTGTAAACCCAATCACTTATTTCTGTGCCCAGGCAGGAGCTGGACTGGTGTTCAGAAGTTGAGCCCTAAATGACCTGTACCGGGTGATGCAGCAGATGGAGAACTAAAACCAGGAATGCAACTGCAGTGCTGTGATTGCCAGCATCAAACACTGACCCCACTGCAGTCATTGGCCGCGTTGCCAGTAACTTCTATAAAGATTTCACACAAGGTTCTGTGGTCTAATGCCCCAGTGCAAATTATCTCCTGAAATGTCTTGATTTCAATGTCAGCCTTGTCTGGAAAGCTAAATAATATGCAGACTGTTACAAGGTTAATTTTTTTTTCCCATGATGAAGCATGCATGTTAACCAGATAAGCAGTGTTTTGGGGGCTCTGTTGCCACCTATTCTTTTTCCAGAAGGCCCCCCTCCTCTTTTTTTAATCTCTTGATGCCAAATGTTGGCTGACTTCCCTGTGTTTGTTTCAGTGCTTACCATTGGGATCACTGGACCTGCCAGCGCCACAGGGTTAAGCAGCTCAAATTTCTCTGCTGAGCGGCTTATTATAACAATGCACACTGTAGCTGTTTAAAACACAGTCTGATGACACTTAACAGTTGCTGGACAGATATTCTTTCCTTTATTGCTACTTCTAGCCATTAGCTAGAGATGTGCAACTCAGTTAATATTAAAATTATTCCAAATTCAGATGAAACAGAACACAAATTCCATTATTTCTGAGGGTCGTTCTTGTTGCTGGTCTTGCTTTTTAAAGACCACTGTGTAGCTTTTAATCTTCTGGAGTGAACACAGAAATACTGCAGAATATTTGATTACTTCTGATCCTTGTGATCTGCTGTAACCAAAACCAAGGAGTCTTTGCAGAAGGAATATACTTGCTAGCTTTCTAGGCAGATTTTAATACAATCATATCAAGCTGATCTATCAGCTGTTTATCAGAACCAGTCTTCTTGAAATTTATGCTCAACAAAAGGCATTTAGCTTACTGTACTGGAAGACATGCCCTAGTATGACAAACGCCATCACGATGAACAATGCAGACAACTTCATGCCTGATTAACTGAGCCAAGTCCATATTCCAGCTCAAGTTCAGTATGTTCAGCAGTAATTTTGCAGACCACTTGACACAGTGAAAACTTGTATTTTTGGCTTTTGGATCAACCAGCACTACCATAGATTCATTCAGATATACTCTCTGAGGCTTCATAATAAAGTAATACTTGTAAGGCTTTATTAGAAGACTTACGTTTCATTGGAAAATCTTAAGCTTTTTTTTTTTCTTTTCTATGATCAGAGTGGAAATGAGACAGTTGGCCAAAGCTGCAAGATGAGTATATAGCAGAGCCAAAAAAAAAAAAAAATCCCTAACTGCCTAACTTCCTCCTTGGAACACATTGTTTTAAAGTATACATTTCATATTCTGTTAGCAATATATAACATTCTTGCCAATAAAATATAACATTTACCACACTAAATTAAGAATTCTCCCTTCAATTTTTTTTTTTGCTGAAATAAGTGGTAGTTTTTAAAGGTCCCATACCCAACATTAAAATACTGCCTCATCTCCTGGCGTCTGTTGCGCATGATAGCCTTGTACTCGCCAATGCGTAATTTTTTGCCATCTACAAGGCAGGTACGCTTCGGCCTTGGCTTGTATTTGTAGTCTGGGTATTTCTCCAGGTGCTGTTTGCTGAGTCGGGCCTGCTCCTCATAGTATGGCTGCTTTTCTAGGTTTGTCATAGCTTTCCAGCGAGATCCTGCCGCAAAAACAAAAACAAAAAAAATGCAAAATGAGATTCCACTCATCTACAAATACTGAAAGACAGAGAAACAAGTAGGTCACCCAGAACAAGACACCTACAGTCATATCGCTTTGGGCTGGGAATCTGTCAGAGCTTCTAGACAGGGGTCAGGTCTTGTTTGTATTTGACTGGTAAACCTCTTGGGTATGGCCAAGAGGCAGAGAGAGATGATACTGGAAGTTTTGACTCAATACTTTACTGAAACTTATCTACATTATAATGTCATCAGGTGGGAAGTAAAACCATCATCCTGATAATGAGCAATCCCTGACACAGTTTTTTAGAAAAAAAGGAAGTGTATTTTAGTGGAACAGCCGAAGACCCCTTAGATACACAGAGTCTGTTCTGCTACATCCCCCCCACGTTCCCATGGCCACGGGCCTGTTTTCACCTCCTGTTCTAGTGGAAGCACCACTCCCATGTGCTCCAATATAGTCACCGTGTTCCACTACAGCTGGATCAAGGCATACACTCTGGATATTCACATCTCTAGAGCTTAGTCTTTCACGACAAATACCATATTTTTCCAGCTTCCAGGTTTGTGAGAAGCAGAATATGAACTGATCATAAATGCTATGCTGCTGGGTACAGGAGCCTGTAAAGACCCTGAAGGAATGCCTCTAAAAGCTATAAACTATCCCATATGTCTCAGTAGGGTTTTAACTCCTAGACCTTGTGAACACTGCCAGCTCCAACTTAAAAATTTTAGTATGTGTCATGAAGGGAAGAGCACTGGGATATCGGCACACCTCTCCACAGAGACGTACTACGGCTTCATTGCTGGCTTCATTTCTGATGATCTGCCTATGTTAGCATGAATATTTGACCCAAGGAAATAATGAAGACTTTACAATTGTTTTCAAATACCTGCTGAAATTTATAAACTAATATTTCTTAAAGGACATAATATGAGAACAGAAAGTAAAATTTCTTGAACCAGTTATCCTATTTTATTTTTCCATGAACTACAGAAGTGCTTCAGGGTAAGATACATTTCAAATAACAGGAATGGTCCGAGCTGTGAAACATGTAGCCTAGAAGGAGAACTTTATTGGAAAATAGTCAATTTTCCCATTGGAAAAAAGTTTGAATAGTTTCTCAATTTAATGGGTTCATAATGTCATATGTCATACTTGACTTCCTCTTGTTCTTCATTTTTTATGGTTACTCATAGTATACTTAGCTCATGCTATTACTCAGGCTGGTATTAGCTCACTGTGCCCCTAAGACTTGCAATATAGAGAGCGCAGTTATCCCCTCCCAGGAAAGAAAACAGTTTGGTACCCTCTTGAAAGGCCCCTTCTGACTATTGACACCATTTTCCCCATTGCCCTTTGAATCTTTATTCCAAGCTGCAGTTTGGGGTTCTGGAGTGAAAGGCTAACAGGATGGTACAGTCTGACCTCACACCTAGAGGTAACTGACTATAAAGAATGATGTCTTTGTTCTGAAGAGGAGCAATGGACATCCCTTTTCTAGCAAACATTACTTTGGAGTCAAAACCATCATTTTTCATGATGTTTACAACATGTAACATGCAGAGATCCTACAGCTAGTTCTGGAATGGGAAACAGTTTAATTACGTTGTTATTAGATATAGCTTAGGCACAGCACCATATTATCACGACTAGGTGGTTTCTAGTATTTGGACTAAAATGCCTGCATGGCACTTTGTATGTCATACAGAGGCAGTGTCTGTGCAGGGGGATCTGTGGCAGGGCTCTGTGTTACACAGGACAGCAGACCTCTGCGGCCAGAATCGTGGTCAGCAGCTTTGTCTTCTGCAGAGAAATTACTCCAAGCTTTTTTCTGGCAAAGAGAGTGTCTAGAAAAAGTCATACCAACATGTAGTACCTCCTAGATCTTGGGCTAAATGACACAGTGATAAACATGTGGAGACTGCCAAAACACTTAACACCTATTAATGCTGCGTAAGATGGAAACACAGATAAGGTCTGTGTAGAACCATGTTAAGAATTCAGATTAAAGCATATGAGTTCTGCTGGAAGATGCCCAGATGTAGGTCTGCTTTCAAATTCTACCTTGTAGACACCATCACACTGGCATTTTAGCATATGAAGAAAATCATAAAAGTTAGTCTAAATCTAGAGCCCTCTAAACACAGACCTGCTGTAGTCCCAGTGGCTTAGAAAAACAGCCCCAGCCCCATTTCCTGTTGATGAATCAGTTTTTATTTATGAATACTACAGTTGAAAACCTCAGTCTTTAAACAAATCTTGACATTTCCTTTACATGCTGTGAGGGGACCTGCAAGGTAGGAATTCAGATATATTTTGAGACAGATGGACAGACAGAAAGGCAGAAATTAAAATCAATTGTTGCAAATTGCCATGAAAATGTTCTATTCCAGCACAATTCCTCCTTTGCTGTGCTAGCTCACTTGCTGCAATCTTACAGCCAGATCTTGCCAGGCAGATTCCTACCCCCTCATGTGAAAAGATCTGTAAGTAGTGGGTGAAGTTAAGGCAAACACATAAGTCTTTGCAGGATCAGGGCCATAAAAACTGAAATTTTGATGCATAATATTTGTACATACAGTTACACATACAATATTTATACATAAATGTCATTTGCTATGTTTTTCCTTCCTAAGCTGAAAACTCAATACAACAAAAATGCTGGCAGTCTCACCTCTCTTCCTAGAAAATTTTTAATAGCTGCCTTCTGCAGTGATACCTCCTCTTACTATGACTTTACCGTTTTTACAAAATATACTAAATATAATTTACCAGTATGTTTTGAAGTATCATAAATAATTAAACAAACAATGCTGTCAAAATAAATTTTGAAAAAGGGCACATTTTCTGATGATAAACCCTTGTTTTTTACATTTTATCATTTTCAGTTATCTTCTTAGTAATATACAGAATCCAACCAACTCTCTGATTGGTCTTAATCTGAAATTTTGGAAGTCTGAAGAATATATAACTCTGATCTTTGAATCTGCATCCACAGGCAAGCTAAGCTATGAATGTGCATCGTCAATCAACACACTAAAACTGGTAAAAAATACCCAGAGTTTGGACAAAATATATTTGTAATAGCTTTATCTGCCATTGTTTTATGAGTCTATAAACACATACAGACAGGCACAGGTACCTATGCACAGTGCCAAGCCCAAGTCCAAACAAGGTGTGATGGAAGAATCTTAAAAAATCTTTCTTTTTAGGGGAAGATTTACACACTTGGGTGAGCTTTCTGCTCACCATCTGTGTTAGAAAACTTTGAGTGAGTCAAGTATGCAAGGCTTTTCTCCTTGACTATGAAAAGAAGGACCCGTTCCCCTCCCTGGATGCATACTTAACGACAAGCAGGACTCTCGCATAATCCTCCCTGATCTGGTGCCTGAAGTATTTAGAAAATAAATGTGAAAATAGTAAGACTTGGCAGCACCAAACATGGCTCCTGCCCCCAAAATGAGCTAGGGCATTTAGAGCTGTGCCCGCACACTGACTGTGAGTGTGGCTGTAGAAGCCAGCTCTCTGAGTCCAGGGCAGAACAGATGCCCCCATGTCTGCCCCAGAACTTGTGCTTGGGCACACACTCACTAGCTGGGGTGAGGAGCTCTGCTTCCTGTTGACTTTATGCCAGGTTTCTCGGACAAGAATTTTCAGCTGTTTGTAATATTGCCTAACTTATAGTCCATTAGACTGACATTTTTCAATCTGAGTATCTGAATCAGGCTGATTTTACTTTCAGAAAATAACCTTCACATACCCAACACTTGTATAATGTATAGGTATGTGTATGGGTTTGTATTCACACACTTAAACACCCACAAGAGAAATTCTGAAGGTAGTATCTAACATAATCTTTTCCTAATCTCTTTATGTAGATTTCTCAGTGAAATTAATTAAAATATTTACAAAAATATCCAAACAATGCATTATTAAATTGATAGGGTCCAGCAGACACATTTTAGCACTTTTTTTAGCATTTACTAAAAAAAAATAAATCATTATCCACAAGTTTAAGTTGCAATGAACAGATGGATGACAAACGTATGCACAGATGAATTTAGTGACAAATCCATGTATCTAATTTTTATGCCCAAAACATAATACCACAGAGTCAAACATAATCCCTAGAGACTTCTAGTGCAGGGAAGGGCACCTCCTCTCATTTTACTATAAAACTGACCCTCGATCAGTGACAACTCCATCCAGGCTACTTTCCGTGACAACGAGCTCTCTGACTTCAATATGTAGAAATGCTTTTAAAAAAATGGTAAGGAAGAATTGGGGGTTTCTAATAAAGAGAACCTAATACCTGTCTGAACTGTGAGCTTCTAGTTGCTTACCCTACGCCAGTTAACAGAGAGCTCCCTGCTGACTTCAAAAGACTGGCCTTTTGCAATTGAGGGAAGACCTTTGTAATGCTTCTGTCAAGAAAGAAGATGTCAGGACATCCCCCTCCATTCCACAGGTGGAATAAAAAAATTAAATGTGATACTGGAAAGAAATAGAAATATCACCTCTTACTGCTTCAGACCTTGCTTTTCCCTGTATCTGGCAGCAAAACAGAAAAGAGTTTGGAGTCAGCTATACTGTCTGTCACCTCAACAGGATCTGTAATGAATTCGCACATTTTACTCCAACTACTGTATATCTAATCAGAAAAAGATGTCCCCATATCTCCCTGATCTAGCGCCAAATAGTAAAAGGTGATTCCTTATGTTAACAATTTCAGCAGAATGGCTTATTAAAACCAGATTTTAGGGTATTATAAAATGCTTAGAAGCCCTTTAAAATGTCAACCAGGATCCCCAGAGACTGCGTAAAATGTCAGCCCAGCTCAAGCGCCTGTTTTAAGCAGAATGAATTAGCAGTGTGCTGTCGGAGGTTGTTATCCAAAACAATCAGTTAAGAGGGAAAACATCAAGCTCTCTTTGTACTTTCTATATGAAAAGGGATATTCAGAATGATCTTGTAGATTTCTGAAGCTGATTATTTAAAAACAGGTTTAACCAGGTCTACTCTCAATTTAGAAACAGACCAAAACTATTACTGCCCTGTCCTCAGTCTAATCACATCATACACCTCTGACCAGTATAATCCCTTTTAACCAGTATAAGGTTATTTTACCGTCAACATAACCAATTTAGCCTTCTAATCCTGCTCCCATAACTAATCTAATCATCTTGTACCGCCCCTTTAATCATGGGTTAATATTGTCACATCTGCCATCCACAGCCAATACATTCTGCCTCTCTGACCAATTTTATCTTATTTCCACTTGCCCCTTGCTAACTTTTCATAATACCACTCTAATCAAGCTAAACTTCAAACCTCTGACCAGTCTAAATTCAGCATATTTACCAGCTCTGCAGCTGGTTAATGCTGCCATTACAATTGTGCTACATCTCTTGAGTTGTCTGCAAAATCAATGAGACTTGCAGCCCAGGTAAACATGTTCCCTACTTAAGCTTTTACCCACTGGCCTGAGGAACATTTAGGTCCTGTAACACAGTCTTTATCAGTAAAAGTGTGACATCTCTGATTTGGTCACTGATTTTTTTTTTTTTCTGCAGAAGGGCAGAAAATTGCCTTCTAATTTTCTATTTATTTTCTATAAAATTCTAATTCATTGGCCTCAGAGATTCTCATTATTCACCTTCTGTATCATTCAGTACGTCACAGAGGAATAACTTAGGATAGAACGTGGTCCTGGAAATTTGGGCAAGTAGTGAAAAGTTGCAAGACTAGGGCATGAAATTCAGTAGGTGGTGTTCTTGACAAATATTGCTTAGGATGTGAAGAGTAGAGGATATGGAAATTAGTTCTGATGTTTCTGTTTTGGATTGCAGGATTCTTTTCAGAATATTTAGAATAAAAGCAGCTTGTGATAGCGATCATGTACTAAATGGAAATGTAATATAACAAGAACATAATAAAAATCTTTAAAATTGTCAGTGTATAAAATAAAAGGATGTATTTTCAGATCTTTTCCCTATGGCCATTGATTTGAACAGAAAATGCTACGGCACAAATGAAATACTGTCATGTGCTACCCCATAGAATCTAGTTAGATGAAATATGTGGGCAAATAAACAACAGCAGTCGTTTTGTGCTTGTTCAACAGCCTAATGAAACGAACTGGTTTTGTCCATTCAGTTTATGCTTTTGCACCAAAACCACCACCATGATCTCAGTAATTGCAAAGACACAAGAACATTTCAGGTGTTGGTTAGTATATGCCACCGGGTAGCATGGTGGAAGCTCATACCACTGCTGTCCTTCCTGCAGCCATTAAGCAGCAAAAGAGACATTCTAGAGACAGCAATTCTGTTGTGTCAGGTGCTCAGCTCTATTCAGTCAATAAGTTCTCTGGGTTTTGCTATTGAAAGAACAGTGCTCTATCATTCTTACCTAGTATCTTGCTGATATTGGAGTTGTGCATGTCAGGGAAGGCTTGAAGGATCTTCCTCCGTTCATCTTTAGCCCACACCATGAATGCATTCATTGGGCGTTTGATATGAGGCTCATTGCTACCACGCCCTCTGGATTCCCGATAAATTCTAGACTCTGAAACTCCTGCACTTCCTAAAAGAAAAGAGAAAAACATTCCCAGCTTGTGTTTCATTATGTAGCTTGCTCTGCCATCAGTAACCTATGTCAGGTGCCACACATTCAAAGAGTCAGTGTTCACGATAGGTTAATGGTGCTGCTTCTTTTTACTTGAAGCTGTAGAAAATACCATATATTGATATTGTTTTGGTTTTAGTTATTCTATTAATTCAGTATCACATAGTATAGACTTGAAGAGTTTCAACTGTTTTTTTCAACACAAGGCATTAAACAGCTTTTCTAAAACATCTTTTACTACTTAATAACGTAAACCCAACACTTACCAATGCAGATTTTCTTTTTTACTTTCTTCCTCTATTGCTATACAGAATGCTGGTCATATGTTACCTATCTTCTACCTTTTTTTGTGATGGGAAGGGGAAAATCAGGTGTTTCTTCTTAAGCAAGTCTCTAACTAGTAAACAAACATTTACACATCTGCCTGTTTTTGTGCTTACCTCTGCGTAACAACATAAGCAACAGCAGAGAAAGAAAATAACATTATGCTTGCTTCATCAAACCAAGAAAGTTCCTACAGATGCAGAGCATGTATCATCTATGAATGATCAGGTCTGTAATTTATGGACTTACTGTGTGATCTCATTTTTTTCTTTCCCTCCTTTATTCCCTTTTACCATCAGAAATACATTCCTGGTCCAGTCTTGAGAAATGCAGTGTACAAAACAGATGGCTAAAAATCACCTCCAGACTTAAAACACCACACAATGAATCATTTTTTCCTGCCTTATTTCATAGTCACTTATTTTTTTTTCTTACTCCTCACAGGCCTCTAAAGCACTTGGATTCTCCTCCAGATCCTGTTGACATGTACACACAACCGTGGAAATAAGGATAAGCCATTTGTACTGACCGTCAGAATCTCCACTCATGTTGAAATCCATCATTGCGTGGCTAAACTTCCCGTCTTCATTCTGTTTTACTGCCAGTTGCTGAGTCAGGGTCTCCAGTGTTGTTTTGTCCTATATGGGCAAGATGATAGGATTTGGATCAGGCAAATAATTAAACATTGTAACTGCAAAGTTCATAGGTAATTTAGAAGGTTGATAGGGAAGCTGGATAACAATTAATTCACAACAGTTTACTGAACCAGGTATTTAAGAGTACATAATACTATTTTTTCTGGAAGGGATACGGTTGCAGACTCTACCAAGCCCTTTTCAAAACATGCTTATTAGCTAGCGATGAGCAAACTTCATAGTGTTGAAAAGATTGGTTTAGTTAGGCACGATAAAATTGGCTGCACATCTGAAGAATACTTCAACTCTCTATGTCCCTGGGACTGCAAAGCTGGAAGGGAAGCTTAGATGATACACACTCTCTTGCAACGTACTTATTGTTTTACTCTATTTCCAGCCTGCAAAGTGTGGAGACATGGGTGACTTTGCTCTTTTACTTTTTTAAATGGCAATATTTTAGGAAGCGGCTCATAGAGGGAAAAGACCCCCCCTCCCCCCCGCCCCGTAGTTCAAACTTGTTCAGACCTTGGGACAGGGTCAGTCTGAATTAAGCATGATAGTTGGGCAGCAGTTTGTGTTCTTGTCCAGACTGTTTTGCCCAACCCTACTAACACCCCGTCTGTCATTCATCTGGTCAGAACTATCTGTGAACCTTGGATTGCAACAGGCTAGTGCGTGCTGCCAATTAATATGTCAGGCTGCGGCGGTGTCTAAAGACATTGCCAGAACAACATTGCCAGGGCCATTAATTCCAATGTTCTCTTCAAAACACCTCATTTCCCCCTGAATTGTTTGACTTTACAAATACAAAGGTGTTCTATTTTCCAACTGTTTTTGTTTTCCCAATGAATTTTACTCATAAAGGTTCTATCTTCCTGACAATCATATGTTTAAAAATAAATCTTTCAGGAAAGCAATACTAATGTTTCAAAATGTTAGGCATTGTGCCTTTTGCAAAGCTAAGAAAAATGACATGATATGGAATGATAATAAAGTGGCTCCAGTTGAAAAAATTCTTTTGAGCTTCTTCCCGAGAGAAAGATTGTTGTTTTGTTGCTCTATTCCGCTCCTGACGACTGTAAAAAAATCAACGAACTAAAAAAAAGTTTCAGATTTCACACGGCAATCAGAGACTTTACAACCATTCTATGTAGCCTAATAATGTCACTAGGTTGTATTATAGAAGAAAACAGAACAGAGAACAATATGAATACAGAAACACTTCCTGCAATGTAATGTCTCTGCATCTGCAATTCAAAGAACAGTTCAAATTCATGTAATACATTTCACAAATATTTTCTTGAGAGAGTTAGAAAAGAGGCTAATCTGCCAGCTTCATGCACTTGCACAGTTTAGTGAATATGAGGTTAACTTTCCTTCTCCTGACATTCATTTTCATTGTGGATCCCTTTCACACTCCTGGTGCTTTGTCTATAAGCAGACACATCACCACCAAAACCGGGCAAGATGAGTTATCCTCTTGGTTTTTGCAGCAGAGTCAGCCTATCACAAGCAGAAGGCTTTCTGTAACACTTCCAGGCACAGCAGATCCAGGAAGCTTGGAGAAGCTTCGAATAAGCACCTGAACATTCAGGCATTTAGCTTTACCAAACTCTTTGATCTACCGGTTTTAACTTGGCTCTCATTTCCAAAGCAGCCTATCAGCAGACAGAAAGTCAGGAATAAGTTGACTTTGTATTTCTTCCAAATGGATCTCAGCTATATAATGCAACTCAACAGTTTTTCCTCAAAAAAGCCTATTTACTGTCAACTTCGTAATTACAAGAGTTCAATAATTTTTATGTTAGAAAATATTTTAAAATGCTGTCACCAACCTAAAATACAAAAGAACATCTCCTCTTGTTCCGTATATTACGGGGCAGTGGAGTTATTCTGTTGCAGACTTTTTTTGAATCATATATAAACCTCTTAGAGAAACAGAGCTGAGAGCGCAAAGGGCACAGGCTTAACAGCTTTTTCTTTATGCCGTAAACGCAGCTGTTGAAGTCGGAGGCAGTTACATTCAGAACCACACTCTGCCGACATGATCTGATTGAGTCTTAAGGTCAGTGAATACTCCGGCATGCTGTCTGCAAGGTACACACTGGGTACGGCTCGTTTATCAGAGTTTGACTTAACAAGCCTACAGATGCTCTGCCACTATCCATCTTGGGCAAAGTTTTGCATTTTGACGTACAGTCACATTGGATGAAGTGAGAGAGCGTAGGCATGATGGAAGAGGGGCTGTGAAGGAATGCCAGATGAGTGCTGAGCTCCCGGGCTGTGCTGCTCAGCCCCAGCACTTGGAGGTGGCCCTCCAGAGAGCCAAAACATGGGTGGGTGAGTGGGGACATCACCCTTTCAACATGGTGACAATTTACTCACTGCTACAGAAACACAGAGAATGACGATATAATTCAATCACCAATGATAAGGTAGCAGACAAAAAGAGCTTCTACACAATGTTGATCTTGAAGTAGAGGAAGTCAAACCAGCCATCCTGGTTAATGTTTAGAAATGTTTGAATTTAAAAAATACTCAGGCAAGAATAAGTCTAAGGCCTGCTCCTTCCTAAGCCTCTGCAATAGCATTAGGAGAGAAGAAAGAGATCAGTGACACCCTGGCAGGATGCAAAAGCCTGACTGTATATAAGTAGCATTCTGATTTCCTGTCCTGCACTCTTCCCATTAAACACACGGCAGCTCATTTTCCCCAATCCTGACGTACAGAAATGCTTTTAAAATTATACAATATTTGAAAGGGGCTAAGCAGCATTCTCACGTTGCTTTGCTTGAAAGTATTCAGTTGATGACCTACTGCTTTCTGTTTGATGGAAGCATCTCTCTACCTTTCCTACAGTCTTTCAGTTTGTGGAGAAATTTATTTATGGAAGCTCCAAGGAAACAAAGGAGAAAAAATCTTTTCTTCCCTGACCTCAGATAAACAGGCAGCCTGCTGACATTGCTAGTCCAGCCTCCTCTCACAGAACCCATTTAAGAACTTCAGAAAAGAGATCCACAATGTTTTCAAGTTTATACGAAAAGAGGATCTATTTATCATCATTAACTTAATTCAATAGCAAACTACACCACTCCACTGTGTTGGATTAACTGTGTAAACAGTAGCAAGCTGTGGTAGCATCCAGTGATAACAGGTGGAG